TGACAGCGCTTGACTTAGAATATAATTACTTTTTAAGTTGACTTAAGGTGTTTTGATACAGTTTTTCAGAGGCCATACCGATATTTTTCAATCGTCTAAAAAGTGGTTTTTTCCTTGTCCGATCGCTACAAAATTTTCACCTGTAATTTGCTATGGATTGAAATAAGATGAAAATATAGTTTTTATTAAAATCGATATACCATGACAACAATAAACAAAAAACTTTGAAATTGATAAAAGCCGAATTTTGTGTGATGTAGTAGATTCCTAGAATTTACCAACTGAATACATTTTGTATACTATTTTCGTTGTTTGAAATGTATTCCTTATCATTAAACTACTTATAATTATAAGCAGTTATATTTCTTCTTGATGCAAATTGATTGTCACGGCTCTGCACAATACAAATTATCATGACATTCATGAGCACCGTTAGTAAAAATGAAAACGATTAGTACCGCCTGGGCGGGGGAGTGATACTCCCTATAGTGGCCTATACGGGGGGATATTCCGCCCAAGGGGGGTACCTTTTCAGGCTTTAGTAGGTAAATATATGAAAGGTCAAGGGTTTCATTAGTTTAAGTATAGGAAAAACTTTGGAAATCTGTCCTTTTGGTCCGTAATAGAACCAAAAAAAGGACAAACATATATTTTTTGGATGTGAAAGAGACAAGAAAACTTCCTAGTTCCGTGATTGATTTATATTCAAAAGAAGGTGCAAATACAGCAATTAACGTCTAAACTAGGTATATGAGAGGATTACTATCTGTCAGTAGAAGGAATACAAAAGGGGTAACTGGTATATAAAAGGGTAGGGGGGATTGGACATCGCGCACAGCCTCCCTGTATAAAACTTCGTTGAGTGCCCTCCCCCCTCGGGATAGTAAAAAATAAATGCCACCTGATATTTATGCAAGGTGTTGTTTATAATCTATAGTCAATAAGAACTTCCTTTAACAGTTAAGATGGAGATCTGGTTTTGGATTCTCGGCTGGGTTCTTTCATTTCTGGCTATCATTGGAAATGGATTTACAATCTTCCTCGTTTGCTGCAGACGAAATCTCCGAACCAAAACCAACGCGTTTATTGTTTCACTTGCCGTGGCGGATTTCTGTGTCGGTTTGAGTGTTATTCCTTCTCTGTTTTTATGCGACTTTACAAACACCTGCCACTGGCCTCAACATTGGCTGTCTTGGGTAAATTTTGTAAGGTGGTTGTTTAGTTACACGTCTGTTGTAAACTTATGCGTAAAAACTTGTACTGGATCGTAAAAACTTGTACTGGATCGTTTTATTGCCATCGTCCATCCTCTAAAATACATTATTTTTATGACTCGCCGTCACATCATCCAAGTTATTTTCCTCTCGTGGACTACAACAGCTGGTTTTGAGGTGCTTCAGTTTTCACTTCGTGTTACTTTAAAAACGAGACTTGTTGATGCTATTTTTTGCTGGCTGGATGTAATTTTTCTCGAGTTTCTCCCATCTACGCTGATGGTATTCAGTTTTGTTTCAATAATAGTTCGTGTACGCAAGCATTATGGGTCAGCACGCACTTTATCGAAACAGCTACGATATAATCATCGCTGTGTGTCTCTTAAAACCTATCACGGCGAGAAGTCTGTTGTAATAATGATGGGTATTGTGATCGGAGTGTTTGTTATTACCTACGGAATGTATTTGCACTGTAGTTTTCTAATACTATTCGACACTACTGGAATGGCATCATGCAACGATGTAAAATACAAATTTCCTGTCTTGGTTTTAAATCCGGCAATAAACCCCCTGGCTTATGCTTTTTTCAAAAGAGATGTAAAGAAAGAGTTTAGAAGACTTATCTCTATAAATATGTTTTTAAAAAAAGGCAACCAAGTTAAGCCTTCCACGTACGTGCTGGACACTAGGAGGCATCTTAGTAGCTCGCTCGTATAGAAAAGTATTTACAGTTGAAATTTGCTGCATGCTTAGAGCTGGCAAATCTATGGCTCGTCTTTTTTGACTCCATCTGAACTGAAATTTGGAAATATTGGTATTTGAGGAAGCAGCAAGACCCATAGGACCCTGAGAATACTCTTCTTAGAGAAAGCTTGAAAGGACACGAAATACACCTAACGTGTAAGCCACGCTTAGTTTGAGATTCAATCCCAGTGTTCATCATATTAAGTGGTAGGATACGAACGTTTTATGGCAGAAAATGAACAAACAAACAAATAAACAAAATGGCAAAAGAGACGGAGAATCGCGAAATGTGTCATAACGTGTCTGGGAACTTACTTAAACACCCTTTCTGGTTTTTGCCATTAGCTTTTGAGGATGTTAATACTTATCGGGAAACCGTGCAATAAAAGTTCACCATGTTTTCAGTTAGAAAGATTACTTCTTTTGTCTTGTGTTCACAATGGGTGTTTAAAATTTTGTTTTTGCCAAATTAGAAACAAAATGGATCGTGGTGAGCGATGTAAAACATAGTTTTTGTCCTCCCTTCATTGACGTTAACATGCCTTAAGCAGCATTACGAAATCCATAGAATGGATTACAGTGGAACCTCCATATCACGAAGGGCCAAAGGACAGGCAACATGTGTTCGCTATGCTGATGACGTTTCGTTACCGCGAGGGTAATCCACTGTACTAGATGATCGAAAAGGCGATGAAAGATAACTAAATGAAAATAGTTATGTACAAAATAAATCATTTTCTATTCCTGAAAGGATCTTACGAGATTAACTGGTCTGAAGAAAGAAGGAGAAACACACGTCAACTTGCGTGAGGTTAGCCGATTTAAAAACTAGATCCTTTCACATTGGCAACCTGAAAGAAGTGATATTTTTTCCCTTATTATACAAATCCCCATATTGGAACGTTACGTAACATTGCCCATGGTCAAATTTCGAGCAGGGCCACTTTCTTTCAGAAGACCCTATTTTCTAGCTACCTGTGATTCAACTCAAAAAAAAATTAATAATGACTGCCCTTCGGGAGCCTTTTGAAATATTATGATTGTTATGACAGTTGTCATTAATATGACAGTTGCGTTGTTCATTGGTCAAGAGATAAAGAGGACCAGTATAAAATCGTTATGAATTACTCTGATCGAAGTAAAATGATTTTTTTCAAGGGGAAAAAATAATGCATGTTTCATTATAGTTTTAATCAAAATTTGTCAACTTCTAATATCCTAAACTAAATAAGAACTAAACGAACGAAAAGAGTTTCTTTTCTTAGTCTGTATAAATCGTGACACAAAATTGACTGTTGGCTGGTTGCTCNGAATGAATATCAATAGGAATTAACCTTGACCGAATCAAACAAAGGGAAGATACAGCGGAACCCACCAAGGGGACATGCCATAATGTCCGTTAACTAACCGATTGTCCTTAAGCGGGCTGTCAGAAAAAAAAGCCAGTTACGGTCACATGTTAATTGTAACTATATAAAGACATTTTAGCGAGAAAACGTTCGATTTAATTTCTTAACTGGATCGATCTTCAAAAAGTTAAGTTCATCCTAAAGAAATCTCCCGATCATCCATGACAGCGCTTGACTTAGAATATAATTACTTTTTAAGTTGACTTAAGGTGTTTTGATACAGTTTTTCAGAGGCCATACCGATATTTTTCAATCGTCTAAAAAGTGGTTTTTTCCTTGTCCGATCGCTACAAAATTTTCACCTGTAATTTGCTATGGATTGAAATAAGATGAAAATATAGTTTTTATTAAAATCGATATACCATGACAACCATAAACAAAAAACTTTGAAATTGATAAAAGCCGAATTTTGTGTGATGTAGTAGATTCCTAGAATTTACCAACTGAATACATTTTGTATACTATTTTCGTTGTTTGAAATGTATTCCTTATCATTAAACTACTTATAATTATAAGCAGTTATATTTCTTCTTGATGCAAATTGATTGTCACGGCTCTGCACAATACAAATTATCATGACATTCATGAGCACCGTTAGTAAAAATGAAAACGATTAGTACCGCCTGGGCGGGGGAGTGATACTCCCTATAGTGGCCTATACGGGGGGATATTCCGCCCAAGGGGGGTACCTTTTCAGGCTTTAGTAGGTAAATATATGAAAGGTCAAGGGTTTCATTAGTTTAAGTATAGGAAAAACTTTGGAAATCTGTCCTTTTGGTCCGTAATAGAACCAAAAAAAGGACAAACATATATTTTTTGGATGTGAAAGAGACAAGAAAACTTCCTAGTTCCGTGATTGATTTATATTCAAAAGAAGGTGCAAATACAGCAATTAACGTCTAAACTAGGTATATGAGAGGATTACTATCTGTCAGTAGAAGGAATACAAAAGGGGTAACTGGTATATAAAAGGGTAGGGGGGATTGGACATCGCGCACAGCCTCCCTGTATAAAACTTCGTTGAGTGCCCTCCCCCCTCGGGATAGTAAAAAATAAATGCCACCTGATATTTATGCAAGGTGTTGTTTATAATCTATAGTCAATAAGAACTTCCTTTAACAGTTAAGATGGAGATCTGGTTTTGGATTCTCGGCTGGGTTCTTTCATTTCTGGCTATCATTGGAAATGGATTTACAATCTTCCTCGTTTGCTGCAGACGAAATCTCCGAACCAAAACCAACGCGTTTATTGTTTCACTTGCCGTGGCGGATTTCTGTGTCGGTTTGAGTGTTATTCCTTCTCTGTTTTTATGCGACTTTACAAACACCTGCCACTGGCCTCAACATTGGCTGTCTTGGGTAAATTTTGTAAGGTGGTTGTTTAGTTACACGTCTGTTGTAAACTTATGCGTAAAAACTTGTACTGGATCGTAAAAACTTGTACTGGATCGTTTTATTGCCATCGTCCATCCTCTAAAATACATTATTTTTATGACTCGCCGTCACATCATCCAAGTTATTTTCCTCTCGTGGACTACAACAGCTGGTTTTGAGGTGCTTCAGTTTTCACTTCGTGTTACTTTAAAAACGAGACTTGTTGATGCTATTTTTTGCTGGCTGGATGTAATTTTTCTCGAGTTTCTCCCATCTACGCTGATGGTATTCAGTTTTGTTTCAATAATAGTTCGTGTACGCAAGCATTATGGGTCAGCACGCACTTTATCGAAACAGCTACGATATAATCATCGCTGTGTGTCTCTTAAAACCTATCACGGCGAGAAGTCTGTTGTAATAATGATGGGTATTGTGATCGGAGTGTTTGTTATTACCTACGGAATGTATTTGCACTGTAGTTTTCTAATACTATTCGACACTACTGGAATGGCATCATGCAACGATGTAAAATACAAATTTCCTGTCTTGGTTTTAAATCCGGCAATAAACCCCCTGGCTTATGCTTTTTTCAAAAGAGATGTAAAGAAAGAGTTTAGAAGACTTATCTCTATAAATATGTTTTTAAAAAAAGGCAACCAAGTTAAGCCTTCCACGTACGTGCTGGACACTAGGAGGCATCTTAGTAGCTCGCTCGTATAGAAAAGTATTTACAGTTGAAATTTGCTGCATGCTTAGAGCTGGCAAATCTATGGCTCGTCTTTTTTGACTCCATCTGAACTGAAATTTGGAAATATTGGTATTTGAGGAAGCAGCAAGACCCATAGGACCCTGAGAATACTCTTCTTAGAGAAAGCTTGAAAGGACACGAAATACACCTAACGTGTAAGCCACGCTTAGTTTGAGATTCAATCCCAGTGTTCATCATATTAAGTGGTAGGATACGAACGTTTTATGGCAGAAAATGAACAAACAAACAAATAAACAAAATGGCAAAAGAGACGGAGAATCGCGAAATGTGTCATAACGTGTCTGGGAACTTACTTAAACACCCTTTCTGGTTTTTGCCATTAGCTTTTGAGGATGTTAATACTTATCGGGAAACCGTGCAATAAAAGTTCACCATGTTTTCAGTTAGAAAGATTACTTCTTTTGTCTTGTGTTCACAATGGGTGTTTAAAATTTTGTTTTTGCCAAATTAGAAACAAAATGGATCGTGGTGAGCGATGTAAAACATAGTTTTTGTCCTCCCTTCATTGACGTTAACATGCCTTAAGCAGCATTACGAAATCCATAGAATGGATTACAGTGGAACCTCCATATCACGAAGGGCCAAAGGACAGGCAACATGTGTTCGCTATGCTGATGACGTTTCGTTACCGCGAGGGTAATCCACTGTACTAGATGATCGAAAAGGCGATGAAAGATAACTAAATGAAAATAGTTATGTACAAAATAAATCATTTTCTATTCCTGAAAGGATCTTACGAGATTAACTGGTCTGAAGAAAGAAGGAGAAACACACGTCAACTTGCGTGAGGTTAGCCGATTTAAAAACTAGATCCTTTCACATTGGCAACCTGAAAGAAGTGATATTTTTTCCCTTATTATACAAATCCCCATATTGGAACGTTACGTAACATTGCCCATGGTCAAATTTCGAGCAGGGCCACTTTCTTTCAGAAGACCCTATTTTCTAGCTACCTGTGATTCAACTCAAAAAAAAATTAATAATGACTGCCCTTCGGGAGCCTTTTGAAATATTATGATTGTTATGACAGTTGTCATTAATATGACAGTTGCGTTGTTCATTGGTCAAGAGATAAAGAGGACCAGTATAAAATCGTTATGAATTACTCTGATCGAAGTAAAATGATTTTTTTCAAGGGGAAAAAATAATGCATGTTTCATTATAGTTTTAATCAAAATTTGTCAACTTCTAATATCCTAAACTAAATAAGAACTAAACGAACGAAAAGAGTTTCTTTTCTTAGTCTGTATAAATCGTGACACAAAATTGACTGTTGGCTGGTTGCTCATCTCACTAGGCAGTCCAACACCAAACAGGGAAAGAGTTGTCCACCGCTGGAATGCTATGATATTGGATAAGATTTTCGAAAAATTAAGCGACAAGAAATGGAAGTACAACAGAAAAATTTTACCTTGAGATAAAAAGATATTGATAATTTTGCAGAACAGTTGTTTGAGGTCATATCNAGGTTAGCCGATTTAAAAACTAGATCCTTTCACATTGGCAACCTGAAAGAAGTGATATTTTTTCCCTTATTATACAAATCCCCATATTGGAACGTTACGTAACATTGCCCATGGTCAAATTTCGAGCAGGGCCACTTTCTTTCAGAAGACCCTATTTTCTAGCTACCTGTGATTCAACTCAAAAAAAAATTAATAATGACTGCCCTTCGGGAGCCTTTTGAAATATTATGATTGTTATGACAGTTGTCATTAATATGACAGTTGCGTTGTTCATTGGTCAAGAGATAAAGAGGACCAGTATAAAATCGTTATGAATTACTCTGATCGAAGTAAAATGATTTTTTTCAAGGGGAAAAAATAATGCATGTTTCATTATAGTTTTAATCAAAATTTGTCAACTTCTAATATCCTAAACTAAATAAGAACTAAACGAACGAAAAGAGTTTCTTTTCTTAGTCTGTATAAATCGTGACACAAAATTGACTGTTGGCTGGTTGCTCATCTCACTAGGCAGTCCAACACCAAACAGGGAAAGAGTTTTCCACCGCTGGAATGCTATGATATTGGATAAGATTTTCGAAAAATTAAGCGACAAGAAATGGAAGTACAACAGAAAAATTTTACCTTGAGATAAAAATATATTGATAATTTTGCAGAACAGTTGTTTGAGGTCATATCTAAACTTCTAGGTTTCTTATGCCGTTCAGTATATTTTAAGAATTGTAAATTTAACACGTGTTCTACAATTGCTAATAATTAGGGACCTTAAGCAGTGACGACGAGCACGTGAACGTCAACTACCAGAAGCTGGAAAACGAACCATGATGCTACCACGCACGCCCAAACGAGCACGAGCTCGTCGTCCACACCTCGTTGAGGACGCCGTTTGCCGCCATCTGCCGTCCTGTGGTGAACATGAGTATTGCTTGACATATTTTCTTATATTTTCTGACTTAATTTTGCAATTTCTTGAATCCCAAGGTTTTTCTTAGTAGATAAGACAGAAGCCATAAGTTATTCCTGTTGCTGTGAAGTAAAAAACCCTGATTTTTTCGATATTGCAGGAAAAATTTGACA